ATGAGGGAAGGAATGAAAGAAGGAGAAAGGGAGGAACGAAGAAAGAAAGGATAAAAGAAAATGTAGAAAACAGGGAGGAAGGGAAAAAGGAAAGAAAAGAGAAAACGAAGAAAGAAGGGAGGGAGGAAGGGAAAAAGGAAGGATAAGAGAAAACGAAGAAGGGAGTGAGAGAAATAACAATAGATAATCAGAAGATGAAAGACAAGAAATAACAAGGAAATAAACCACGCCAAACTTTTGAGAATATGTTCATGCAGTCTTTAAAAAAAAATGTAGATTTATATTCCCTTAACACCTGCATCATTAACGAAATGAGCTCGAACATTAGCAAGGAAGGTGTTGCCTGCTGTAAATAGATATAAATTGCAACGGCATACCCAGCGCGGTGGATTGCACGTAGAATAATAACGATAATGGACATCATCGAGATAAATAATGTAAAGCAAACTCGAGTCTTTCTGAATGCCAAGAATATTTTGGTTCGAAATGTCGGGCCGAAATGAGGTATAATTTGCCATTACCTTCCTTTTTAAAGTCTTTTTTTTTTTACCTTGTTTGCAGGTTCTCCCCGATGCTTCGCCTGACGCCATGGATCTCATTAAAAAGTTTTTGATATATTCAACGGACAAGAGGATATCTGCTAAAAAGGTGTGTGTGAGTATATAGATAAGGGAATAAATGAAAGGGTAGATAAACTGATGGATGGATAGCCACACACACACACACACACACACACACACACACACACACACACACACACACACACACACACACACACACACACACACACACACACACACACACACACACACACTCAAACACACACACACACACACATATATATATATATATATATATATATATATATATATATATATATATATATATATATATATATATATATGTATATGTATATGTATGTGTTTGTTTGTTTGTTTGTCTGCGTGTGTGTGTATGTATTTGTGTGTGTTCTTATGTATATGTTATTATGCCAAAGATCATTCAGTCACGCGCACCCAACCCCCACGTTCATATCTCATCCCTCATCTCCCCTCCCCCCTACTGTCAGCTGTGTCACCTTATCTCCCTCCACCCATGCCCCTCCACCTATCAGCTATCTCCACCTTCCCTCACAGGCGCTGCTCCCCCACTCCCTCCTCCACCTATCACCTACCTCCACCTTTCCCCACACTGCCCCCCTCCCCCCTCCACCCATCACCTCTCTGCACCTTTCCCCCACAGGCGCTGCTCCCCCCCTCCCTCCTCCACCTATCACCTACCTCCACCATCCCTCCACCTATCACCTACCCCCCCTTCCCTCCACCTATCACCCCTCTCCACCTCCCCCCACAGGCGCTGCTCCATACGTACTTCTTCACGGCTCCCCTGGCGACGCCCGTGAGCCAGATGCCCCTGCCGCGCTCGGAGAAGAGGCCCCCCCCCGCCACGCAGGACTACGTCACGGATTTCCCCATCCACCACGTTTCGGACGCCATAAGGGACCATCTCGAGACGCTCTACATGAAGGGGTGAAGGATAGGGGGGAGGAGGGATGGGGAGGGAGGAGGTGGGGGGGGGATATGATTGCCTTGAGGTTCTGGGGTGGTGGGGATAGGAGGGAGGGAGGGAAGGGTAGATGGAGGGAGGGAGGGAGGGAGGGAGGGATGTTTAGGGAAGGAGGGAAGGAGGGAGGAAGAAAGAAGAGAGGGAGGGTGGGAGGAAGGTACAGAGAGATAGAGAGAGGGAGGGAGAGAAGGATAGATGGATGGAGGGAGGGAGGGAAGAAAGGAGGAAAGGAGGTTAGAAAAAGAGGAAAGAACTAAGGAGGGAAGGGAGGAAGAGAAGAATGAAAGAAAGGTTAAAAATGAGGGTAGTAAAGAGAAAGAGATTAAAGGAGAGAAAGAAGGAAACAAATGTAAAAAAGAAAAACAAAGAAACACAGGAAGGGAGAAAAGAAGGTATGAAAGAGCGATGCATAAAAGAGACGGAGGAAGAGAAGAATGAAGGAAAGGAAGAGAGGAGAGAAAAAAATGAATGAACGGGAGGCAAGGAAGGATGCATAGAATGATAGAAAATGATAGAAAAACAAAAACGAATAGAGGATGATAGAAAGATAAGATAAACATGGAAGGGAGCAAGAAACCAAGAAGAAAAAGAGAAAAAAAATGAAGATTGGGAGGAAACATGAGTAGATAGAAGAAAGGAAGGAAGTGAAAGAAAGAAAGAAAAAGAGGGAGAGAATATAAGATAAGGAAGTCGGACTGATTCCCCGTCGACCTTCAGACACGCCTCACTCTCCTATTCTCGGCGATGTCGTCCTTGAGATTTTCCATCGGTCTTTAAGTCGTCATTATTTAGAAGTCTCTTTCTTTCTCTCACTGTCTCTCTCTCTCTCTCTCTTTCTCTCTGCCTGTCTCTCTTTTTCGCTCTCTCTCTCTCGCTCGCTCTCTCTCGCCCTCTCTCTCTCTCTCTCTCTCTCTCTCTCTCTCTCTCTCTCTCT